CCTGTTAAAAATAGACGCACACTCTTATAAACTAACTAACTTTACGAATTGAACGTAGGGGTAGCCGTTATAATAAGAATAAATGTTTTCAGATAACTTCAGTACAAATTATGTTTTAATAAAGCCTAATCGTATATACAGACTGCGCAGCAGACCCCCCGTAATGTGGTCTGACCAAGTTAAGACTGCAACGAATTGCAATTTGCTCGTAAGCATCGGGCATGTGGCGGAAAGCCAGGAGTGGGGGTGAAAAACTCGTCACCAAGCACACGACGACCACGACCACTCAGCCACGAGTCTAGCAACGAAGAACAAGAGCACTGTATTCGTCTTCGACCTCAAATCTAAAAACAACTGGGTTCACGTCAATATTTGAGGATTCTAGTGACCTCCCAACAACAAACAAGTCATGTGCCTGACAATAAGATAGCGAATATATATGTAAAAAGTTCCCAAGTTAGTCGTGGAATCAGTACAATTAAATTTTGCGTTCAATTTTAATGCAAAGTAAAAGAATGCCCAAACGTAGTCATTAAATTATGTTGCCAACCCTAATGTTTCAATTTATCTAGTGTGATAATAGTATCGCGTAAAACACTTATTAAACGCTACACGGCCCGCAATCTGCAATTGAGTTGTGCCATTGCCAATTGACGCTTGTTGTTTAACAATAAAGCTAATCAACAAATTTTGCATGTTTCGTTTATATTTATAATACACGATAAGATTAAATAAAGCGTAACTAATTAATTCGGGCCGTTTTTAACAATCACCGAAAAAAAAAATTAGGTTTCATTTTTCAACAAATTCCGAATGTTTAACGTACAAGTATTAATATTTAATAAAATAATACTTAATTCATATTATGAAACAACAGTCCTTTGATTGATTCTAACAATATACCGAATTCAAAAGTCTACGCGATAATTAATAACCTCCATTTTACAAACCTCCAAGGTTTATAAAATAAAAATAAAATACTATAATAAGGTTTATAATTAATATGTTTCACTGGCATAAGTGACCAGGATAAACTCATCGATGACTAATTACATTAACACTCAGTATTCATACGTAAACGCGATAGTGTCTTACGGCACCTTTTTTATCGAGCACTAGCAGGTCGAGTTAAGGTAATAAATATTCTTCTTTTTCGGTTGGTTTTTTTTCAGTTATTTTAGTATTATATTGTCAGTTGGTTTGATCCGGTGGGTTTTATAAATCAGGCTATGGACTGATGAGAACATACTTTAATTAAATGATGCATAAGTTGCAAGCAGTTGACATCTGGAAGCGAGCGGACGTAAAGCTTTGTCCCTGTTTGCTTGGATACAAGCAACCCAGATGGTAGAAGTTTCTTCTCAGAAGTTTCTAATCAGAGCAATCTATTTTGCAAAAATGCTCGCAGCTAACTCGTAAATTTGAGTGGTAATAATAAAATTACACACCATAAAAAGCACACGTAAGTTTGGAAGGTACAAACCGTGATAAATTATACGCTTAGTTGGCAACATACATACTTGATGTTCTTATTTTTTGCGTTAATTTAAATTATACAATCCTTTTTAATAATGTAGAAATTTAATTGCAAAGACTGTAAATTATTTAAGCTTTTAAATCATTAAGATTAACTATTAAAAATACACAGATATATGATGAATATGTTTTTGTCAAATAATTCTGACCATATTCGCTAAAGCCTCAAGATAAAAAATACATATTTTAAAAAAAACTATTTCTAAACAATCACATTGACAACGTTGTAGTACGTTATTAGCAAGTAAGAAAAACAAAAAAAAAACGATTGTAGTTTGGCAAACATAATACTAGGATTTCTGCAGAATCGTGATCACTGATTAGAGTAAACGAATTGAAAGGCAAAATACCATACAGCATAATCTCTTTTGAACTATTGATGAATCATAACACAGTCTTGACGACACTTTTGTAGCGTTGTCACAGTAAAAATTACGAACTGACTGATATGCATGTTATACTCATAATATCGGCTGCGTGTCCTCGCTCTAGAAAAACGGCAGAATCATACTAACGAGGCTCATTATTGTTCAGGTAATTCGTGACTATTTAAGACAAACAGTGTTCTATTATTGTCTACTAATAAAAAAATTACAATAACTTTATTTTCACCTCCTCGTACCGATCACAGTTTAAAGAAGACCGACTAATGACTACACAAGTTTCAGGTTAATCCGTCCTCAATCTAAATACAGAATTAGGCCTCTGTAAGCCAAAACGGTTTTAACGCCTCCTAAGTAGGCAATATAGGCGATTTATACACGTTTACTTATAGGTAGTTGGACTGCAAAAGCATTTAGAAGCCCGCAACCGAAATTCCATACAAAACGTTAATGATTCCTAAACTGCTAAAATAATGGTTTATTGTTGAGAAAAATACATTAGCGTCGGTAACGAGAAAACTCTTTTGCTTGTTTACGAATGCGTTTCTAACTTCAAGCCAAGAGAAAAGACTAAAGGTGAAACTTTTTATTTTGATTTCACATAACTTTTTTTACTGGTGGTAGGACCTCTTGTGAGTCCGCGCGGGTGGGTACCACCACCCTGCCTATTTCTGCCGTGAAGCGGTAATGCGTTTCGGTTTGAAGGATGGGGCAGCCGTTGTAACTGTACTTGAGACTTAGAAATTATATCTCAAGGTGGGTGGCGCATTTACGTTGTGGATGTCTATGGGCTCTAGTAACCACTTAACACCAGGTGGGCTGTGTGTGAAGTATACTCGGTCACATTTGATTAATATTAAAGTTTTATAGGAACATATCTACTGACGTTTAATTTCCCGATCACCGTAATTCTAATAGCTTCGAGCTCGATTCATTCGATTCAGACTACGTAGACTGATCCTCATCCCTAAACCACTGACACGAGGTTGACAATATCCGGCACACTTGGCAAGCGTGTCCATCCAAGACGGACACAATGCCGTGCTCGAGATGGCATTGCGACGTACGCGACTTCAGGTGCAATGACCCTGTTAATTGAATGATTGCTCTTATCGTATCGGCCAAGCTTAATATTCAATTTAGTTGTTACACATTCACATTTTAGTGCCGGTGTTTGAAATTTGTGATGGATTTCAATCTGTGCAGTAAAATTTTGTATCTGTATTCTAATAGTTGATAAGATGTCCAGTATATCTCCGGTGGTCATGCGATTATGCCGTGGCTTGATCCTCGAACAAGTTACATTTTTCCTTTAAATATGTAGTAGACAACAGGACACCAATTACAAAAAATATTTCAAAAGTAGAAATAATGGTTACGTCATTTATACAGTAAACGTCATTTATTAAATTTGACCAGCAATCCCAATATAATATGATATTATGTTATGTAGCGTATTACCAATACATTTTATATTATTACTGTATTTTAATCTTTGGTTACCTCGTCATATTCTTTGCCTCAAAGTGACGTGCCACGTAATGAAGTTTCGTTCAGCGGAAGAATTTTTAATTGTGCGGTAATTAAAATCCTTTGAAATTTCCGAATGTTTTTTTGTGATTAAACGTTTACTAGTGGCCCGGAGGCCTTTCCAGTTTCACCAGGACAGGTGGGCGAGCAAAGATTTAGCCACGAGGGGTGGGAATAGCTAACAGCTGCCCGAGCGCCTCCGTAGGAGACCTAATAACTCAGAGAGCAGCTGCTTCGCGGATGAATCTACTATCAGATCGGAATCGCGACCCGCTGAGAAGATCCGGCGGGAAACTTAGCGGGCTGATGCATGGGTTAGGTTGCACGTCGAACTCTTTGTCGAGCTGAAGGCATCTAATGCAAGGGTTATTAGATCTGATGGATCCATAAGGACGTGGTTTATTAAAACATTATGAGCACAAACGACTTCTATAATAAAGGATGTGTCGCGTTTCGTGTACCCACGGGCATTGCTTGCTGCCTTGCCTATTTTCTGTCGCTAAGAAGTTATGAATTCCGATTTTAAAGATCAAACTGGGGTTTTATGACACTTCGATTTTAATTTTACATGCATTTAACTCTAGGAAAACTGTGAGTACGACTACCCCCCTGTAACGTTAAATACATTTTTCTTATGGATCGTTTTGATCGACATATCTTTTGAAACACTTTTGAATGTGTCATTCACAAGTGTCTCTATGATAAAGTTATAAGTGCCAAAATATATTACATAAGCCGAAAGAGGTTATCGATTATTCAACCTTGGTAAATGTTGCAAAGTTGTACATTAACGTTGCAAGCGTTCCAACAGCTACTCACAGACCAGTTTCTTCATTAACCCGCTGTTAATCATTATGGTTTTTACACTGCGCATAATTTGCAATTACAATTAGTTTTCTTTTATGATAGACGAAACACGCTTCCTGCGTCTATGTGTCTACCTAGTGATGAAATCATGAATAAAAACAATGTGAACTACACTAGAAGTACAACTTTGTTGTGTGTATGTGCATTACTATAATTCTCATGTTGTATTTGTTATTTTAGCTGTTCTACACACACTCATCACTTAATTGTTATTCTCATAATCCTCTCGCAGGTCTGCTGGAAGAGATTTCTTAAAGAAATAAGCAGTGCCTTTGTACATAATTTTCCTATTACTCTGTACTATGTCTTCTTTTTTGTGTGTACATAAATAAATAAATAAACTTTCGAAAGCTACATTTTATTCCTCGCATATGAGTGGTCAGTCGGGTAGTAAATGATTATCGGTGGACATTAAAATATCGTCATCAAATTCGGAAGAAGTCTCACTTGTATTGTGATAAGAGGGTACCTTTAAAGCTTTAACTCACGATTATTTCGCATTTCTGTGATCCTCACAAAAGCCCTACCAGTATTTATGAAAAAATATAAATTTTGGAATAAGGTGTATTTGTTACCATGTGATAGGGTATAGTCACATTACTTGTTATAAATAAAGCATCATACTTTTTAGGCAACAGGCGATTCGTAGGAATGGTATGAACAACATTTAATACCAATACTTACAACTAAGCGAACCGAACAGTGTGGCGATGCCCTTACTCGTTCGAGAATCAACGTCTCATTGACGCACTTTCCAGTTTCTCACGATCTGTGGACAAAAGCAAACGTTTTGTTATGTATTTACAATCACACCCCTTGATAATTACAAATAATGAACCATATAATTTTCTTATGGATTCCAAGAATCGTAGTCAATGGAATGAATGAATAATAAATACCCATCAGGTGGGTAGAAGGCTCGTTCTACGGACTATAGCAGTAAGTTTTTACGGTGCAATCCTGTATTAATTTAAATTTAAACTTTCTGAAAAAATAGACTACAAATAGACACGTTAGTCCATTAAACAGAATAATCGTAAAGTAAATATAGTACCGCAGAAATAATAAAATGAAAATAATAAACGCAGCATTGAAAAGTAAAGGAAGTTTTAATTATTTAGCAATGGTAGAAAGAAATGTATCAAAATAGTTTTATCTCCTACTTATTTTAATAATTTAATCTTATTCGAGCGTTTATTATGAAATTACTTTGGTTACGCGTTAAATCTTTCTTTGCATCCTCAATAAAATGTGCAACATGCCAATATTGGTTGGGAAGTTGGCCTCTGTGTCGTAAACATTATGAACTACCGTTGCGATATATACGAGTATTATTTCATACCAGTGAGACCCGGCCATGCTTCGCTGTGACTATCACCAGATGTAAGTACAATTCTTTGAAATAGCACACGCACGAACTGCGGATTGTACTGTGACCAAAACACCTTTCCTGAACTGTGAATATACCTGGGGTAAATAAATGGTTTAGGCATGTCTAAAATACCAACATACACAGCAAATACAATTTTATTTGTATTAAGTAAAGATTGACATTTGATTACGTTCTAGATTTAAAAAAAAATTAATATTCCTTCTTATTTAAAATCATCATGCTGACAATACGAACTCTCCCATTCGCGAGAAGCTGGAATAGTCCCTTAGGCTATCAGCGAATAGGTAGTGGAAAAAACGAACTCATTACATGGTTCACAATTAATAATTGACTGAAGATACAGCATTACTTCTGCTAATGGCTAATCTGGTTATAAGTGGTTATGATATCAAATTACACATAGTTACGATGTGAATGAGGTAGTGCATCTCGAAACGATGGGTCTTACTACAGTCTCAGACTCAAACAGAAAAGACAGTTTTTTTTAATGAATGCCCTGTTTTTTTATACGCTTTTATTTGCTTCAGACGTATGTGTGTTTGTAACGGAATCTTTGAACATGATTTTGATCCCCTTCAAAACGTCAGATTAACTCGAAATTTGGTATACTTATTAAGGAGCGATGACATTTCGATATTTTAAAAAATATTGAAAAAATTGAAATTCAACTAAAAAATTAAAAATAAATTAATAGTTTAAAAAAACAAAAAAATACGCTTTTAAATAATTTTTAGTAAATTTGAATTAAAAATAGTGTGAGAAAAAATGATTTTATTGTAAAAAAAAGCGTGGGGTGCTTTTCAGGATATTATTAAAATAGCCCTTCTACTGATATCTGTTCATAAAATATTTATAACTACTGAAATTACCATGAAATTTATTTTCTATTTTTGAAGTGAAACTTCTTTATCGGCGTTGGAAAAAAATTTACCGTCACATTTTTCGGTTACGCGTCACATTTTTCCGTTACGCGCCATCTTTTTTGTATTCATGTCTATGATAATAAAATCCTTTTGTTTAAACTTTATCTAATTTAACTTTTTTGTATTCATGTCTATGATAATAAAATCCTTTTGTTTAAACTTTATCTAATTTAACTTTATTTAACCAATTTCTAGAAAGTTGCATGTAGATCATTTTTCGAAAAATAAGGCCATAAACAAGTTTCACTTCTTACGTGTGTACACTAGTACACGCACACTTTTTTAGTTGGATTTTCTATAAAAGCGTGTTTGTTACTTTTTTTTAACTATTATTTATTCAGTATTATAAACTAATGGCGGTTTTGACTGCGTTTCATAAACTCATTTCTCATTAAATATCGCATCAACTACAAAATAATGTATATCATAATTATGTATATTATTAATATTTGCAACGTTGCATCCTCACCCGTAAACCGCGATCAGCTCATTCGGTCCTCGACATCGCCTTGGCTCAGTAATACTCGGACACTGGCCTCTAATACAATTAAGTGAAATGCGGCCGGTTGCGGATTACGTCTATTCTTAGATCACCTTACAATTAGCGTGTGCTTTTTAATAACGTTCCAACTGGTTTTGTTGCAGAATTTGCGTTGTTGGAATGATGGATATGACTCGCATTGTTTCCATAAAACTTTAATCTTTTGCTTGTCTTGTTATTTAATATTTTATTCTAACCCTTTTTCTATTACACTATTACATGTACGGATACTGGCATAGAATTCAAAACGATTTCTCTAAGTCGTGAGCGACACATCAGTAATTTTATTTAATTGGATTGTCTTATTAGATGAAGATAAACCACAAACTTGTATTCGTAATTTGAAATAAACATTTCTAGAGTATTCCTCAAAATACATCTATTCCCTCATATCTCCCCTAATCATTAATCTAGCTACGGTCTAATTTGAAATAGTCGTAAGTCCACACTGACACTCGGCAACAGCAATTCTAAAGCAATGTATTAAAGTACAGTTTTCATTGCAATTTTACGAGAAGGTAAAGCGTCGTCATAAGTGGATGCACAGTCGAGGGTTGGCCAAGGACGTTTATTGTGAAGATCCGGCTCCGATGAGCCACTGGCTGCTTCAAGAGGTACTATGTGGATGATTACGTGAATATTCTCTATTGTGTTCATTCATTCTGCGTAAATTTTGAAGTACAAGGCAATTTTTAGGCGTATAAATGGAGTCAGTAAAAATTTAAGGTGCAAAATTTTTTTCCCAAATATTTTCTATAAGAGTGGTATCTCGTACAATTAGTTGTACGCGCGGTTATATTGCGTTAAAATTTAAATAATCATTACAATGTTCTCGCGACCTCTTTATCTAAATCCCACTTGGTATAGAAAAAACGTCACTTCACATTACTATAATAAATCGAACCCCAACATCAAAGCCAGCCAGCGATGGCAATATTCAGATGAGTATCACTTTTATATATTTGATTGTAGGATTTGAAAAACAAAAATATCCCTATGATAGCTTTTGGATTGTCCAATCGAAGAGATATACAAACAATCATACATAATTTTTCGTGCGAAATACCGTTACAAATTAAGCACGTAGTTCTTAGCATACCAGTAGCATCATGCAAATGGCTGAGTGCTATTAATTCTTGTAGTAGAAATAACTCGTGTTTACAATCGCGTTTAATGTTTAATAGGAAATCGGGCCACTAACGGTTTTCGAAATTGCTGCAAATTCTCGGCTAAGCTTGGTTACGTGTGACGTCACAAGGGCCAAAAATAAATGACAACCTTATCAAAAAACACATTATTACACGATTAGTCATATTTGACACCAAGCGTTGTAATTGGTGTTGAACTTGACGTTAAAAATGATGGATAGATTTTTAGGTTTAAATAGATTTATTTTGATTTGGAACACCGATCATTAATATTTCACAAAAACCATGATTGAGTGATCGTTTGAAATTAATTATAATCCTTAAAATCACTTTTTGGACTATTTATTGGAGACAATGGTTGTCTATAAAGAAAAGTTTTTTCGGGGATAATTATAGTATTTTTCACATTACGGCCCATAAGTTTTTCGAAAAATATGTAAATCCTTTGTAAGTGTCCGTAAGAAAAATAAACCACCAAACACTCATTCAGGTTTATAACATTGTTATTAATACTATTGATTCCTCTTCTACAGCTTGTGCATGAAGATAATTTAAAGGACTAATATTCATAGCATTGTTATGATGTAATTGAATCTTTAAATAGAGCATGGCAGTCATCTATGTGTGAGATATAATAACAATTATATTAACAATATCCAAGAAATCGTATCGTAATTGTTTCGAATGAAACTAAAATAAAAACATACCGATTATCTAACTGAAATGTTACTACAACTTCCTGAGGCAATTCGGAGCAAAGTAATTTCTTTATGTAGTTTAAACCGTGTCTTCGCGTGTCTGGCGCGATGTCCATCGCATGCGGGTCACAACGATTACGAACCGAATTCAGGACAAACCTGTTCACTTCACACATCAGTCATCATTCATTCTAAAGCAATATCGGATATGAAATAAAACTAATCTGACTTGTTCTAAAACAACAGCTATAGTTTGACTGGTGGTAAATAATAACTTTAGCAAGTGAACGCTGCAATATAAATACCGTTATTCATGTTTAAATAGCGAAATCAAAGCATTTATTCACGTGAATCTTCATAGATTCTATTGATGTCGTCGTGGCCTAAAAGATAAGACGTTCGGTGCATTCGTGTTGAAGCGATGCACCGGTGTTCGAATCCCGCAGGCGGGTACCAATTTTTCTAATGAAATACGTACTGTAATAAAAGTAAAACCCGCAAATTATAATTTGCGTAATTACTGGTGGTAGGACCTGTTGAGTCCGCGCGGGTAGGTACCACCGCCCTGCCTATTTCTGCCGTGAAGCAGTAATGCGTTTCGGTTTGAAGGGTGGGGCAGCCGTTGTAACTATACTGAGACCTTACAACTTATATCTCAAGGTGGGTGGCGCATTTACGTTGTAGATGTCTATGGGCTCCAGTAACCACTTAATATCAGGTGGGCTGTGAGCTCGTCCACCTATCTAAGCAATAAAAAAAAAAGACGCTTCCAAATAGTGATCACTTTACCACAACGGACCGAAGACATGGGGAGAGAGTTGAGTGCATTAGATTGCTCGTTATATGCAATAGTAGCATAGCAATATTTGCTGTCTCAGTGCCACTAAAAATAAATAGGAATAGGAGGACTTACAAACAGCATTTTAAATTATTATCAAGCGTGTTGATTACACAGTGTAGTGGATTTAAGTGGACGGGTCGTCTGTTCTTTAATATAACGACGGAAGAGTTTTATGAGTGCGTTGCCTCAGTTTTAACTTCTTACACAGCAACAACAAACAATAGC